TTTGAAAACTAGAAGTGAACATAAATGACAAAGCAATGACATTTAGACGTGGAAAGCTGATAATATCTCAGAGTTTTATGGAAGAAGAACCTACAGGGATGGGGGTAGGCTAAGGCTTTGAAACGGTACAGGCAATTTATTCAGAACAAAGGCTAAACCAATTGTAAATAATGTGGTGATGAAGAATTTAGTGATAGAAAAGGACATGACAGGTTGCCCAATTTCCCATTGCTGTTTAAACCAGCAACCTGACCAAATTCTTGAATCAGTTCTAAAACCCTTTTGGTACTAGATTCTGGCTCCTGTAATGTCAATACTAAGTCATCTGCAAATGCTCTCAATTTATACTGTTTAGCTCCGACTTGTATACCTTTAACCAACTGGTCCCTTCTAATCATATTCAGCAAAACCTCCAGGACCGATATAAACAGCAATGGGGAAATTGGGCAACCTTGTCATGTCCCTTTTTCTATCTTAAATTCTTCCGTCACCACATTATTTACAATTAGTTTAGCCTTTTGTTCTGAATAAATTGCACTTATACCGTTTTCAAAGCCTTGGCCTACCCCCATCCCCTGTAGGTTCTTCTTCATAAAACTCCAAGAGATATTATCAAAGCTTTCTCCGCGTCCACAAATATCAAAACTGCTTTAGTATTTATGTTCACTTCTAGTTTTTCCAAAATATCAATTATATTCCTCAAATTGTCAGACAAATGTCTTCCCGGGAGAAAGCCCACTTGATCTTTATGAATCTCTTCCATCAACACTTTTTTCAATCTCTTGGCCAAAATGTCTGCAAAAATTTTGTAATCCACATTAAGTAATGATATGGGGCGGTAGTTCTTAAGCTGAGTCTTTTCAGTCTCTGTTTTCGGTATAAGTGTAATATATGCTTCTTTCCACGACTCTGGTGCCCTTTTCCCTTCCAATATTTCATTGCAGACTTCCTTTAAAGGTTGTACTAACCACTCTTTCAAGGATCTATAGTATCTAGAAGTCAGCCCATCCGGTCCTGGAGATTTGCCTAATTGCGTATTTTGAATGGCACCTTCTACTTCCTGTTCAGATATTTTATAATTCAACATTAATTTACTTTCTTGAGAGATTTTTTGTAATCCATTTGTCTTCAGAAATCGATCTATGTCCATTTCTTTCTGTGGCCCTTGTGTGTATAATTGTTTAAAGTACCTCTGGAAACAGTTTCTAATCTCAGTTGGGTTGTGTATGTTCTTTCCTTCCACTTCTAAATTTGTGATAGTATTTAATTTTTGTCTTTTTTCATTTGCCAAGCCAGCAATTTCCCACATTTATTAGCTGATTCAAATGTTTTTGTCTCATTTGTTTAATTTTCCATTCTATTTCCTGATTCATCATTTCCATATATTGTACTTGATATAACTTTATTTCTCTCAAAATCTCCTGCGACTTTGGTTTTGCTCTCAATTTCTTCTCACTTTCTTTTATTTTCTCCAGAATTTTATCTTTCTTCTCATTTTGGCTTCTCTTCTTTATAGCATTCTGTTGTATCAGAAACCCTCTCATGACCGCTTTGCTTGCGTCCCAGATTACTCTTTTTTCTACATTAGTATTCATATTTATCTCAAAATAGTCTCTCAAGATTTTTTGGGCCTTTTTATATACTTCTTCATCTCTGAATAAGGTGTCATTCATCCTCCATCTGAAGGATGCTTCTTGCCTGATGCTTGGCCCCCTAATAGGCCAGATCATTCAGGACCATTCAAACCAACCGAAGGCCAACTTTGGCTGCCTCAACCCAATTCGACCAGTATCTGAATCCTCCAAATCGGCCTAATTTGGCTTGGGATTTGGCTGAATCCATTGTTCATCCCTAAAAGCACCCATTAAGGTGGAAGGTAGAGAGGCCAGCAGTAGGTGATGCTAGAGTCAATGACAGACAGATTCTAGTTTTGCCCCCATCCTTTTCCCTGCTGCGCTCTGCAGTGGCAACACCGACGCTAAGGAAGAGGGACCTGCACTGGGTGTAAGTACGAAGGCAGGCAGGAGTGGACAGACTGAAGGTAGACTGCGGTGGGTGGGGCAGTGCCTAATGGATGAGCCTCACCCTAAAAGATGAACCTTCACTGAATTCTTCAGATCGTCGTCTCCCCACCTGGGAGAATTGTGGCAGCTGCATCTCAAATAGAGGTGGATGGGTGGATATAGGAAGATCTGTGCCAGATCAAACCAATGGGCCATCGAGTTCAGCATCCACATTATGGAGCCTGGAAGCTTGGCCACATAAGGTTGGGAGCAATGTAGAACCAAACGGTGAAAATGTTCCAGAAGACTTGTAAACGTCATATTGGTAGTCAACCCCGGGACTAATTGTTATTTGCTGCAAAAACAAGCTCATATATGTTTATCAGCTTTGAAGCCTTAGTTTTGGTTCAGGAGAGGCTTCTCATGCTGGCTGCCTGTCAGTTGCTCCCTTATCTGAGATATGGATGAGAGCTGGGAGCGGGCCTCTAAGCCAGGGGTGAATTAATTGGGCTATTGATGCCAGCTTACATAGCTTGCTTTGCATGTATTTATCAACATATTAGCACTTTGCGGGCAAGTCATGATGACATCTCACTGCTGGCATGTCTGTCCAACATCTGTAATAGAAGTGAGGCTTTGCAGGCTGTGTTGTAAGTTTATGCTTCCTTCTTATAATAAAGGGCTGATAAATGCTCTGGCACTTTTTAACGCCCTTCTTTGGTATCCCTGCACCAAACCACTCCTCCTTTGGCCTGTGGATCAGGACAGGAGCACTCTTTATTACACTTCTCTTTCCCCTGGTATGCCCCACAGAGGACCTTAAGGTCCATGAATAACCATAGTTTAGATGTCCCGGGCCCTAAGGAAGTCAGACTATCTTCCACTAGGGCTAGGGCCTTTTCAGTGATGGCTCCGACCTGGTGGAATGCTCTGTCCCATGAGACTAGGGCCCTTCAGGATTTAACCTCCTTCCATCGGGCCTGTAAGACAGAGCTATTCTGCCTGGCCTTTAATTTGAATTCAGCCTGATCTTTTATTTCCCTTCCCCTTTTATGAAGATCACCTGCTCTGAGACCCCACAGCTAATTCTCCCCTTGGCTCCTCGCTGTCCCAAGTAGGACCAATTCAGCCAGCTAGCCCTAAGTGATTTCTGATTTTTATTGTTATTCATGTTTTTATACTGTATTTTATGCTGCTTTTATAATTAAGTGTTTTAAAGTGTTTAAAATTTGTTGTTAGCCACCCTGAGCCTGGTTTTTGAACCGGGAAGGGTGGGGTATAAATAAATTATTATTATTATTATTATTATTATTATTATTAGAACATAAGAGAGCCTGCTGGATCAGACCAATGACCCATCTAGTCCAGCATCCTGTTCCCACAGTGGCCAACCACATGCCCGTGGGAAACCAGCAAGCAGGAGCCAACTGCAAGGGCACTATCCCCTCCTATGACACCCAGCAACTGGTATTCAGAAGCATCGCTGCTTCCAACCATGGAGGCACAGCGTAGCCATCATGGCAAGTGGCCAGTGATAGCCCTCTCCTCTGCAAATGTGTCCAAACCTCTTTTAAAGCCATCCAGGTTGCTGGCCATCGCTGCCTCCTGTGGGAGCAAGTTCCGTAGTTTAACTATGCACTGTGTGAATGTGTACTTTCATCTATCCTTTCATCTCCTCGTATGTTCAATTACTCAGTCTGCTACACACGCGTGCAACCCTTCGCTTCCTGGCTGGCACTGAAAAAGAACATAATTCAAACAAATCATAGAGACTGTTGATCACGTTCAGCTTGAACCGAAAGCAAATGGAGAGACTTAAGAACAAATCATTCAAAGCAAACTCTTTTTTTTTTTTTTTAAATCCTGCCCATTTCCATGGAGTGGGGCTTCTGTGCACGTTTGGATTTTGAGAGTTTTTAAGCTAAAAATTCCGTCCCAGCTGGCAATCGCTTGGGTTGGTGTGTTGAAATCATAGCCTCTTTGCTACTAAGTATTTTCCTTCCTCCCCCCGCCTCCCCTGATGGAATGTTTGCTGGACGGCTGCCAGTCCATTTAATTGGAAAAAGAGAAAGAGCCAGCCAAATGAACTTTGGGGCTTGCCAAAAGCAGAGAGAGGGTCAGCTCAGGGAATTCCACTGTACTCCGTAACAGGGGTAGCCAATATGGTGCTCTCCAGATGTTGTTGAAGGACTTCAGATGCCACCAGGCCCTACTGACATGCCCAATATGCAGGGGCAGGGATGGCTGAATATGTCAATTTCAGTTTCTCTTAGTTTATCCGTTCTTCCAGTCTTAAGCTGATTCCTCCCCATTTCTATGTGAGTTTGTGATTCTTATTTTTTAAGACATAGTGATAAATTGCTCGCATTTTGTGCATTTTTTTTCTTGCTATACACATTTTCAATGCATTTTTTTGCCAATATACACATTTTTAAAGCATTTCCCCCCCTAATACAATGCATCTTTGGAGTTATTTTGACTAATACACGCATTTATATACGCACTTTTATGCATGCATTACTTGGCTAGAGAACTGTATTCCAAAATTCTGAGATGTGTGATTGTTCAAATGCTGGCTGGTGTTTCAGCTTGCCTATTGTTCTGAAAAAAATGTAAACTGAAAAAAATTCTCCCCCCTAGCCAGGGATGATGGAAGTTGGATTCCAACACCATCTGGGCAGTACAACGTTGGCTATAGAAAGTTTGGGATCAAGGATTGCTTCAAGTAGCTTGCCTGACTCAATCCATTATCTGTTAAGCCACACATTCCAGGAAAATGGGATAGGCCACTGGTGACCTAAGGATCCCACAAGGGACTTCCCATGGCTGCCATTCTCAGTCAGCATGGATTGTGGGGAGGGACCACTACTTAGCATTGGAGTATCTGCTCTGATAGCAGATCATGGAAAATACCTCTTTCTGCCTGCATATCATTTCAGAAAGTGTGACCTTGGTTGGTTTGCCTTGAAGTGCAAACTGAATTAAATTTATCCAGAATCCCATGAGCCCAAGCCAGTACGTGGCAGAGCACCAGCGTTGGTGAAGGCCAGGCTAGAGTCTACTTTCGATGCTGCCTTCTCCTGCAGTTCTCAAACAGAAGCCAGGTATTCTTCTATTTTTCTCCTCTTCATTATGAAGCTTTGGACGATTCTCTCTCTTCCTCCACCCCTTTTATTCCTCCCTGTGAGCTGAGACACAGATAAATGGGAGGGAGGAGTTGATTGTGCAAGGCGACATCCCTGTCAAGGCTTCTGCCATGCATGTTGGCACTGGGAGGGGAAGGGATAACGAGATCCTTCACGGAGCTAATCAGCAGGCACAGGAGATGTTGCTGGTACATCAACCTTTGCTCAGTTTCAACAATCCTCCACCTAGTTAAAAATTATCTGGCAACCAGAGCGAGAAGTCACAAAGCATCGCTGGATGTTTTCGAAGAAGGCTTCCTCACTGTCCTTCCTCAATGCAGCATTTATGAGAGGTGCACCCCATTGCAAAGAGGCCCGCTCTGCAAAACAGACGAACAAAAGGGATGACTCATTAGCAAACCAAAGGTGTCATCCAGGTAGGCTTTCCAAAGCCAGGATTCTATAATGCAAGGGGCTTCATTTGCATACCATGCACATTTTATCTTCATAAATTTGCATATCACCAGCGAACACATTTTACAAAAATTGCACTTTCTCTTAATAGCTTTCCCCTCTTTTTATTTTCTTCTTTTAAGAAGAAGAATCATCCTCAGACGCACTGCAATACAGGTAAGGGAGAAATCTTACAGCTGCTTCATCTTAAGGCAACAAGTTCTGCTCAGCTCTTTTTCAGAACAGACGTGTGACCCAAAAGTTCAAGATCTAAAGAACAAATGTAATCGCTCGGTGATGTGACTGGAATTACGTAGAATAGTCAGGTCATAGTTGAAATTATATAATGAGTTGGGGAAATTATCTGTGGCAGTAGTAGGTTTTTCATGTTTCTTTCAAAAAAAACCACAAACCAAGGTAAAGGGGCAGAGAATTTGCACGCCTGAAAATGTGATATGTAGATAAAAGGTTCTTGTTGTTGTTGGCATCTGTCTGTTTTGAGAGACAATGAAGTGTACCTCTGGGGGTTAAGTCAAACCACTGAAGAATCACAGCACCTGCTGTGGCTGTAGAGACTTGTAACTCATAACTGTTGCCTCCCATGTTGTTTTTGCTGCATTAGCAGCACCAAAGTGACTTCTCTGGGGCACAAGCCTTAGCAGTGTGTATGGAGGTGCTGGGCTGCCCAGACAACAAGAGCAGGGGTCAGCAAACCTTTTCATTAGGGGGCCGGTCCACTGTCCCTCAGACCTTGTGGGGGGCCGGACTATATTTTTAAAAAATAAATAAATGATGCAAGAGCACCACGAACCCCAGTGGCTGCTTAACTGTGTCTTGCGAGCAGCAGGGGCTGGAGGTGGTGGAGGGATGATGAGCGGCACGCGAAAGGGCTCTGGAAAGGGGCTGCTTAAAATGGCGGCCACTCAAACTCTGCTGCTGCTCCTGGCACCAACAAAGCCCAGTCCCCTTCCTCCTCTAGGCAGGGCAGGAGAAGCCAGGAGGAGGGAGGAAGGAGGCGCCGGTGCCGTGTGAGGGGGGGGGAGAGGGAAAGAACGTGCGAGCTGGCAATCCACACAGCAATTCCTGGACAGTCCGCAGGCCAGATCCAGAAGGCAATTGGGCCTGATCCAGCCCCCGGGCCTTAGTTTGCCAACCCATGAACAAGAGCCTTGCTGATGTGGTCCAAAGGAAAGCAGAGCAATATATTTGGTACCAGCTTGGCTGCAGGAGTTGCCAGAAGGAGGTATACAAGATGCTGTCCAACCGTATTAGGGACTCCACTCCGGTTTTGTGTAATTTACTACTTAATTCTTTCTTCTTCCAAAGATGTATTGCAAGGCAGTGGGTATGGATTTTTCCTTGGGGTTTACTCCTGAAGGGCATGACGTGAGCACGTCATGTGGCGCAGGCCCCCTCAATCACGGGGGCAAGCCAGTGTGCCTGAGGGTTGGCATCAGATAACAACAGCAGGTGGTGACAGAATCATTCCCCTGAAAAAGGGAGACATTCAGCATCATACAAGGAAGGAGGAGGCTGCCATGGTAACAAGGAGGCATTATGTCACCACAGGAAAAAAAGTGCTTTTTGCAGGAGAGTTTTGAAACGTAGGTTGCCAGGGGGGACAGGGGAGATGCTGGAAGCGGAAGGGGAGGAGTTGCTTTCTGCAAAGGATGCTGGGAAGAAAAAGCAGGAAGTGGGTGGAACTCTATGCACCCTGGCTTGGAGAGGCTGCACAGAGAGGCTGGGGGGTCATGATTGGCTGGTGCTTTGGATCCAAGCTTGACTGGAACTAGGAGAGGAGCAACAAGAGACACTCTTGGGGTGTGATGTGCTGCACCTCCTTCATACCAAGGCTCACGTGTAAATATGTAAAATAAACTATATTTCTTAAAGACACTCGTCTCCGCTGTGCTTTGATTTCCCAACAGAAGCACAACCCTGGTTAAATGCCAAGACCCCTGGAATCTGGGTGGCCAGTAACACTATGCTTGTGCGTCCCAACTTATCTGCTTTCAGAATGCAGTTGTGGAACTGTAACAACAGGAGACAGGTTGCTGGATGTGCTCAGGTGTCTTGGGTTTGGAATACGCCACACACCAAAATGGAAATCAAATCTGCCATATGCTAATAAAACTGTCATCCAGGGCCCCCTATGAAGTGGTGGGCATTTATAAGCAACCAAGGTCACGCTTGACTGTTTGGGGAGAGGAATCGGATGCTGGAAACATGATTTGATTACCAAGCCCGGATGATTTCATTTGAAAGCCAAGGGGGCTCTTCGTTCAATACGGACTCTAAAAATATTTTTCTCACCACCACCACCACCCTACTGACAATTTACCATGGGAAGTCTGTTATCTAACATTAAATAAGTTTGACACGTCTCAAGATAAACACCTGTATTTGATTTAGAACATCCCACTTCATTTTCAGAAAGCATTAGAAGAGTCACACACCTCTGAGCACTCATCTCCAAAACGCTTCCCTTCACAGACAGACAAAGAACTATACCAAGGGTTTGTTGATTAAATGAGCATCTATGTTGCCCCCAAGTGACCTGCTTGTGTGTGTGGATCACATTATGCCTCCTGTTCTACACAGTCGTACCTTGGAAATTGAATAAAATCCATTATGGAAGTCTGTTTGACTTCCAAAATGTTCAAAAACCAAATTGCGACTTCTAATTGGCTGCAGGAAGCACCTGCAGCCAATCAGAAGCCGTGGAAGCCCCATCGGACATTTGGGTTCCAAAAGAATGGTCGCTAACTGGAACAATCACTTCCAGGTTTGTGGCAATGAGGAGCCAAAACGTCTGAGTTCCAGGGCATTCGGGATCCATGGTATGACTGTACCTCCGTAATAGTGGATCACTCCATCACCAATGTGAAACTGTGGTTCGAGTGTCACACTAGGACATGGGAGACCATGCTTCAAATACCCAATCAGACCTGAAGCTCACTGGGTGTGCCAGTCACTGTCTCTCAGTCTAACCTACCTCACAGGGTTGTTGCAGGGATTAATGGGGGATTGTGAGAACTAGGTATGGCACCTTGCGATCCTTGGAGGAAAAGGTGGAACATAAATGCATTATTATTATTTTTTTTAAAAAAACTGTTGTTTCATAGTGACTCAAGGGCATGCTTAAAAAAAAAAATCACCCACTGAACCTGAGGAAGCTGACAGGTCATTTGTAGCATATAATTTTTAACAAATCTTCAGGCTCCGGTGTCAGATGCACTGATATCATTAGGGCTCTTTGTGGTTTAAGACATCAGTTGATTATGGTGACTTAAGACAGAGTGGCAGATTCCCAGTGAGGCACATTACTTAAACATGTGTGCGCACAAGTATGGATGGTGAGCCTGTCTCTTCAAAGCCTGCCTCATTGCAGAGAGAGAAATGTATTTCCTCTACCGTTTGACCCTGATAGGCTCGCAAACTGATAGCAGATGACTTGTGTTGATCTTTTCCTATTATTGAGCAAAAGATATTCCTCTCTTCCTTTTATTATTAGTTTCTCTCTTTTTTGCCCCCTCAGGCACGTCTGTGTGTGCAATAAATAAAAATTCACATTTTTTTTCCTGCTACAAGAATGTCCTTGTCATTTGAACTGCATATGTACCATGCCTTTATAGCATATTTGAAACACAGCCCCCCCCAAGAAAAAAGAATCTTAGGGACAGTAGTTTGTATAAGGTTTTGTAATTCCATGAGGGGTAAAGATGGGGCTCATAAACCTGGGAAGGTAATCTGTTCTAGGAGAAGGAAAACTCTGACCCTAAACTTCTGCTGTCTTGTGGGATATCTTTGGGAGAAGAAAGGCTAAAGAGTAAACCCTAAACAAATCTGGAGCAGAGTCCTTAAAATGGTTGGATGGCGCCTTGTTCGCTGCCTTTTGGCAACTCCTGCAGCCAAGCATATGGCTCTGTTTTCTTTTGGACCACATCAGCAAGGGTGAAAAAAAAGTCTCATTGTCTGGGCATCCTAGGACCTCCATGCACATTGCCCAGGCTTGTTCCCTGGGGGGGGGGGTCACTTCACTGCTGCTAATGAAGTGGTTTGACTTCCCCGCCCCCCAGAGGTGCACTCCATTGCCTCTCACTGTACAGTGCTGCACATATTAAATAGTACTTCCTGAACCAGCAAAGTCATGGACATCTAATGAACCCTGTATGTGGAAATGGGATTTAAAAACCCTTGGCCTTGCCCCCGTTGATTCAAGAATGGAGCCACGGTAGAATGGGTGGCCCTCAGGCTGGCACAGGGCCAATTAGCCTAATCTGGGAGTTGCAGATGGGGGACTTCAGGGTGAATTAGGGGGTCTGTGCACAGCCCTAGTGAATATACTCCAGAGGGAGGTATCTGCCTTTGCCCTGCACTGAAAAATATACTAGCCCTCAAGAATTCTATTGCATGCTAAGGTAAAGGTAAAGGGACCCCTGACCATTAGGTCCAGTTGTGGCCGACTCTGGGGTTGTGGCACTCATCTTGCTTTATTGGCCGAGGGAGCCAGCGTACAGCTTCCGGGTCATGTGGCCAGCATGACTAAGCCACTTTTGGCGAACCAGAGCAGCGCACGGAAACACCGTTTACCTTCCCTCCAGAGCGGTACCTATTTATCTACTTGCACTTTGATGTGCTTTCGAACTGCTAGGTTGGCAGGATCAGGGACCGAGCAACGGGAGCTCACCCTGTCGCAGGGATTTGAACCGCCAGCCTTCTGATCAGCAAGTCCTAGGCTCTGTGGTTTAAACCACAGCGCCACCCGCATTCCACATTGCATGCTAATACAACTGCAAAAGGTGGGAAACCACCCCCAGTATTTACCCTCAAAGACAGAGATGCAGTTTCACCAGGGACTGGAAGCAAATAGGCACCACCCCAAGTGAATAGGGACAATGGGAGGGTGGATTTGCTAGCCTTTGCTACCTCTTGTACACACAAGACTTGCTGATGACGTTCAAGGCCTGCCTCAGACATTGTGAACTGATGGGAAATTGCCACCCGTTTTCATCCAGGACTGGGTGCATTGCGCTCAGTGTGAATCTGCCTTGATTGCCCAAACTACTTTAGGAAATCACTCTTTTCCTGTTACTTGTGTATGCAATGCTAAAATTTGAGCCATACCACAGTTAGGGTCAAAAGGAGCAAATCAGCTTTGCCAGAAAGCTAGGCAACAGAGTTCTTACATAATTTTTTTTCTCTCTCTCCCCCAACAGAGACACAGATGGGAAGTCTATTACTTGCTATTTTGAAGATACTACATCTGTGTTACCAATGATTATGTAAATGCACAGATTTTATTGCCATCATCCTTCCTTTCAGCACACTTGCCTTTCACAAATTTTGGGCTAATCAGCAGTTTTGTCCATCCACATTTTCGCGCGTTTCAGCAAATAAAACGCCGTCTGCAATTTACTATTCACAGTAAATAAGTATGCACGAAACAAACGGCACATTCATAAGGGGGAAAGCAGGCACCACTAAAGTGAATTGTTTCGTGCGCAGTCAGGAAGAGTTGGCCTGGGTTGAAAAAGAGAGAAAAGGAGAAGGAGCAGGCTTGAGTTAATGGCACATTGGAGAAGCTCTTTTTTTATATATCACTGAAGGGCTTCAGAATGCAGCCATCTTCCATTTTTTCATGAGGCGTTAAGAAACTAATGCAGCGCAGCTGGTTGGAAAGGATGGCGGCTACTCAAAAGCACAAATGGGACAGCTAACGAAGTTTACAGCTGAGTTGCTCTGGCAGCTTGTAAGCGGAGGGGAGAGCTCCATTTTATGAGCAATGTGGGGCTGGTGGTGCCCTGCATATTGAGTGATCTCCTGCAGCTTCATAATCTGAGGTGCAACATAGGTAGTGACCCTTCCCCCCCCACACACACACACTTCCTCTTCTGGCTTCCAGGGATCCTTTGACCTGCATGAATCTGCCCCGTGTGGTGAGCCAGAGAACTGCAGACTGGGGAGCATGTTCCTGGGAACAGGAAGGTGTTTAATTAATTGCATTGCATTGAATTGAATTCATATTTTTCTCCAAGGAGCTCCAGGTGGCATACATGCTTCTCCCAGACCTCCTTGTTTAAACCCCACAAGAACCATGTGAGGTGGGTTAGGCTGAGAGGCAGAGACCGGCCCAAGGTCACACAAAGGGAGCTTTATGACTGAGCAGGGATTTTATACTGAGCCCATCTAACTCGGTGGTTCCCCAGGGTTTCAGAAAGGGGTTCTCTCTCAGCCCTACTTGGAGAAGCTGAAAATTGAACCCATGACCTTCCGTTGTAACTTTTAAATGCCAGAAGAAAACCTTTCTATTCTGCCAGGCATATGCAGGCAATTAAGAACACATCTTTCCACAATGGTTAATTGATGTCTATCTTTAACTATTTACATATTGTTTTTACTGTATAGTTTGTTTGTTTATTGTTTAGGGTGTGTACTTTTCGAGAAGTTCCCATCATGGTTGCCTGTCCGCAGCAGCATAATGGCGTTTGCTGGTGCCCGGGGTGGCGGGTTGCGTGTGCCAGCCCAGCCCTCACTGCCGACGCCACCAGAGCAACCCTACCCCCCACTGGAGCAAAGTGGGGCCACGCTGAGCTGCCTGCCCACCTGCAGGCATAGGGAACCCTGACAGCTGACACCCATGGTGGTTTGTGGCCCCTCAAAAATTGCATGCCTGGAGCTATGGCCCCCTTGTCACCCCCCATGCTACACCCTGCTTGTCTGTGTTCACACTATAGTATGTTACGATTTTAGGAGAGGGTTATTGATGGCTACCAGCCATGATGGCTGTGCTCTGCCTTCACAGCTAGAGGCAGCAATGCTTCTGAATAGCAGTTGCTAGAAGCCTCTTGTGCTTAGGTCCTGCTTGTGGATTTCCCACAGGTATCTGGGCAGCCACTGTGAGAACAGGATCACAGACTTGTCAAATTGTTGAGTTGGAAGGGACCCCAAGGGTCACCTAATCCAACCCCCTTGCAATGCAGGAATCACAGTGAAAGCATCCCTGACAGATGGCCATCAAAGCCATGCTTAAACACCTCCAATGAAGGATGCTGGACTAGATGGGCCATTGGCCTGATGCAGCAAGCTCTTCTTATATTCTTAAGTTCTAATGGAAACCAAAGGAGGGGAGAGTGCTCTCGTGCTCAAGTCCTGCTTGCTGATTTCCCACAGGCCTGATCCAGCAGGCTTTTCTTATGTTGTTACGTTCTCTGGAATTAGAAAGTATCGATTGGTTTTCGGTTTGGCATTTGGAGCGACTTACCCTTACAATCCGTATAGTTAAAGCTATGGTTTTCCCAGTAGTGATGTATGGAAGTGAGAGCTGGACCATAAAGAAGGCTGATCGCTGAAAAATTGATGCTTTTGAATTATGGTGCTGGAAGAGACTCTTGAGAGTCCCATGGACTGCAAGAAGATCAAACCTATCCATTCTTAAGGAAATCAACCCTGAGTGCTCACTGGAAGGACAGATCCTGAAGTTGAGGCTCCAATACTTTGGCCACCTCATGAGAAGAGAAGACTCCCTGGAAAAGACCCTGACGTTGGGAAGGATGGAGGGCACAAGGAGAAGGGGACGACAGAGGACAAGATGGTTGGATAGTGTTCTTGAAGCTACCAGCATGAGTTTGACCAAACTGCGTGAGGCAGTGGAAGACAGGAGTGCCTGGCGCGCTCTGGTCCATGGGGTCATGAAGAGTCGGACACGACTAAACAACTAAATGACTAAACAACAACAACAATCCTTACAATTTTTACTGCCCCAAGGCAGACCCCCTCCCCGCCAAAAAAAGCTTTCACGTGCTTAATATTTCTCAATGGCCTGCAAGTGCACAGAGCTAACCTATCCACGTCAAGTTTTTTTTCCTTCCCTGCTTCATGAGAGAGTGAATCACTATCACGGCATTTGCATTTCCATGAAACGATGTTTCGCCTGACCCTTCCGAAGCTGTACAACCAAAACTTTCAAAGTAAAATTACCAGCGTTAAATGGCATAATTTGTCTCCTCCATACTCATTACATATGAGCCTTGGGATGATAGTTGGAATGAAAGATGATGTTTAATCTGTCACTAAATTACATACGTATCTGCTTTGAGTGCTTATTAAGCCTTAAGCAAATCAATACCTGATTGCATTTTAATCAAGAATAGATAAGAAGAAAAATCCCATAATATGTATAAGCACTTAAAACAACCCCTCCAAAGCATTATCGAAGTTTAAACTTGTGATGGAAATGGACTGATAAAGCAAATATGTGGTAATCAGCACATACTTGGAGCCATAATGGATAATAAGCAGGAAGTTGATCTTTTAGGATTTGGACGTGTTGCTTCTTCTCTCACTAACTCAGCAGCACTGTTCCCAAAACAAAGTTTGCTGAAATGATTTGGGCTCCTGGATCCTCTAAGGGTTCCATTCCTAACAAGCCTACTCTTATTGAAGCCTAGGTCTTACTGACTATACCACTTCAGATGGACAGAGAAGTGGTAGATGATGAAATATCTTGCAGTTTAAAAATTTCCAGTGCATTAAGAAATATAACATATCATGGAGCAGCTACTGCAATCTGCTGCATATGGAGATGGTCTCTCCCCCCCACACCCCCAGTATGGAGAAGCACCTAATCCAGGGACCCCACTGCAGTCCAAACACAGGTTTACAGCTTGAACTTATTTTGTAGTTGTTGTCTTTAATTCATTGAGGACAGTGGCCACTAAACCTGATGGCTATGCTCCACCTTCTATGGTTGGAGATATGCTTCTGAATACTGGTTTCTGGAAACCACAGGAGGGGAGAGTGTTCTTCTGCTTTGGGGCTTTCCATAAGCACCTGGATGGCCACTGCAAAAACCAGAGGAAGCCCCTCGGCTGCGTTGTGGTTTAAATGGCCTGTGGCCACGCCCCCAGCCATGTTGATTGGCCACTTGGGAGCATGACACGGCTGGGCGTCTGCATGATGCGGACAGCATCCCTTCGCCCCCCGGCCAGATCACTGAGGATCCCAGGTGCCGGGCCACAACACCGCCCACCAGTAAAGGTGAGTGGACTTGCTGGACTAGGTGGGCTACTGGCCTGATCCATCCAGTTTTTCAGATGTCAAACAACATATGAAGGGCACCGTGTTATATGGATTCTCCACTCATTGATTGTAGCTGAAACAGTCAAAGGTATTGCATTTAAGGTAACATCGAGTGAGATAAAGATCTTACCCATGACGTTAGATCTAGGATAACTATTGGGATGACTATTGGTATATAAAGCCCTTAATACCTTGGGACAAGTTTACTTCCAGAACCTCCCTACCTCCTATGTGCCCACTCAACTCTTTCAATCTGTGGAACTGGTACTATTAGCACCTGCCACATAATACTTGACCTGCACTTGTAAGAAATCAATCTTTTAGAGCAGCAGCACCTATACTTTGGAACTCCCTGCCTATTGAGACCACGCAGGCACCTTCGCTGTTCTCTTTTGGGGACCTGGTTAAAACATTCATGTTTAGGCAGGCCTATCTAGCCACATGGATGCTGATGTGCTTTAACTGCTTTATAGTTAATTACTCATCATTGCATTTTTATCTGGCCTTTTTGTCCAGGGAGCTCAAGATGGTGCACATGGTTCTCCTCCTCTTCATATAATCTGAACAACAACCCTGTGAGGTAGGTCATGTTTAGAGATTGAGTGACTGACCGAAAGTCACCAAGCAAGCTTCATGGCTGAAGGAGGATTTGAAGCCTGATCCAGCGCTCTAACCATCACACCGCATTGCCTGTTAGCTGGTCTCATTCCTGTTTCATCCAAAGGGTACACTGTGTGCCTTGGAATGAAAATAAAATACACGGAGGCTCCCACAGAGGGCTGTAAACCAGAATAATAAATAAACATAGGTATAATTGCAAGGCATGGATTTGTATGCAAAGCTTCGACGTTGGCAAAAACCTAACGTGTCCTACATCTATTAGCCACTCGGGATCCGGGAGCAATTATAATTACAATGTGTCTCTCCGTAAACAAACAAGCAAACAAACTTTATGGCTATGGTCCCGTCAGCTTACTTTCCCTCAAGCATACTTCAGATTAATTACAATGCATTTGAACAGTAATATGAACATCTCTGACTCCCTTTAAATACCATTAGCACTGTCAATAAACTCGCTTCTGCCAGCAAACAAGCCCAAAAGGCTGCCTTTCCAAAAAACCAAAAAAACAAACCCCACTGGGTTTTCATTTTACTCCACCCTCTCTTCAAAATGCATAGTTGGACCATACCTTTTATTGGGACAAGGGGTGGGAAAAGGCACCGTTTTCCATTCCACTGTGTTCATCGCACACAGCATTGTTTCCATTCCACCTCACTGTCCACTGTGTTGAAATTATGTGACTTGTACCTACTGTACGAAGGTAAAATTTTGCCTACATTGGCCTCGGGCCCTGCCAACTACAGGGGCATGGCCCTAAGTAGCTTCCCAGAATGGAATTTTTGTCTCAGGCTCAGAAACATCCTTCATCCTTCCTTTTGGGTCAATGTAGATGACAAACCTACCATATGGTCTATGTGGAGAACCCTTATCAGTTCCTGTGACTCAGCCTGGAGCACGAATCTGTAGCAGGAAAAGCTCTCATTGTCCCACTTTCCTCAATACAGAGGACCAAGCAGAGCTGGCCCACCCATGAGGCAAGGTGCGGTGACTGCCTCAGGCAGCAAGATCCACGGGGTCAGCAGTTACGGCCTGTAAGGAATTTATCACTCGCTGCTGCCACCATGATGGTAGCAATGTCTGCAATGCTCTCCTGGGAGGTTGGACCTGCAGCTTCTTCAGCAGCTTCTTCAGCAGCACACCCATTCCACCTCTATAGTGACCTCTTGGCAAATAGGAGGCACTGCTGGTCTCCTCTCACCCCCTGAGAGGAAATGGAGGGGGCTGCCATCTGAGGTTTCCTGAGGTCTTCACCCACACTGTGATGGCATCTGATTCCCACTTCAACCACTGGGTAAGGTTGATTTAATTCTCCATCCCACCCTGTTCCCAATGCAGACCCTCTGAGTATCCCTATTTTCCAGGGACAGTCCCAGATTTCCAAAGGCATCCCGTTTCTGATCTGATCCTGGAACATCCCACTTTTCCTTAGGATGTCCCTATTTTCATCAGAGCAATGTTGGTGGGTATGGAATTATGCGACCCCTGAGCCAAGGTGATAAGTAACTATACAATATTTAGAAGACATCTGAAGGCAGCTATGTATAGGGAATTTTGTTTTGTAATGTTTAATGTTTTATTGTGTTTTTATATATGTTGGCAGCTGCCCAGTGTGGCTGGAGCAACCCAGGCAGTTGGGCGGGGTATAAATAATAAAATTGTTGTTGTTGAATAGGATGTCCCTATTTCCATCGGAGAAATGGAGGATATGCCAATGTCGATCTCCCCTCACCCCCATGTTCCCAATGTAGATCTTTATTTCTCCTTTGTTCCTGATGTAGATCTTCACTAATCCCTTCTTCCCTTGCGTGGAGTTGCCATTTTGTTTTTCTCCTCAGTTGTGGAAATGTCTTGAGCCCGCCCTGGGACCTACGCTAAGGTTACCAGATTCTTTCCGATGAATCCGGGGACACTTTTCAACTTCAATGGATATTGTATAGGGACTGACTTGTAAATCCGGGGACTTTCCCCAGGAAACAGGGACGTCTGGTAACCTTAACCTATGCAATCTGAGGTGGGAAACATCACTGCCTGGCATATTCATTGCCTGTCTCTACAGTAAATGGGATGTGTATGATGGGGACATAATCAATATCGTGTTGTGTGGAAAATATTAGAAACAATGAGGTATCAGTGTGAAACAGCCACAGAGCAAAAGACAGACTACAAACCTGGAGCCACTTTTTTAAAAAAAAGATTCAAACTGATACTCAAATGTCTCATTCTTCAAACTCCTGGAAATGGATGTTCATTCTGAGTATCCATCTATCTGTAGTTCTAAATCCAATGATTTTTATTATTATTTTTCCCTATTTGGCTCTCACCACACAAAGGACTTTTGTAGTTGGAAGAGTATTTTGAAAAGCTGGGGAGTTGAAAGCACATTTTCACAAAGCTGTTTTTCCTCTTTGTTTTCCCACCCTCCAATACCACCCTTTAAACCAGCATTATGTATGAAGAAGGGGGAAAGCCTGCATTTCATTTGCCCAGGGTCTTCTGATTCACTCTCAATTTCTTATGTTAAAAGGGGGGAGGGGGGAGAGAGAGACTTCTTACAGTAATGGAAAATCGTTTTGTAAAAAAAGAGAGAAAGAAATAAGAAATCATTAACTTTTCTATTTCTATTTTAAAATGGGATTCAATATTTCTAGAAACCTCTAAGTGCTCCAATCAGGAATTCAACCATCATAAATTAATACAGTGCAGTGTCGTAATTAAGTTCAATAATCTCATTAAGGCTTTTAATGAAATTGATTAATTTAAAAAAGGAGTTGGCTGGTGATCATGAGCTTTTTTTTAAAAAAAGGAGGGGGGTGTAGAGAGAATGCCAGAGGTTTACTGAGCTATCTCAAATACAAAATTATTTGACACTATAGGTCTCCATGCCCAGTTCTTCACAGCGTGCAGACATATGGTGAAATGCTCCAGGGGATGGATGCTTTGTTTTCTATATTCATCTTTGGAAAGCAATGCTGGAAAGCTCAACATTTGCATTGTATTTTCTTTATCCAATTGATTCTGAGTCAGGCTTAGTTGTTTTGAATGGACCGTGTAACTACACACAATTTCAATTGCTTGACGAGCACGCACGACTGTATTGCCTGCCCTTCACTCCATGGTCCCAGGGCAGGTTGCAACATTAAAACACAAGATTAAAAACAGTTTAAAATGACACACACACACATGTACATATTTCAGGAGGTTAGACAAGATGACCTTTGGGATCCCTTTCATTTCTACAATTCTATGATTCTCTCTCTCTGTGTGTGTGTGTGTGTGTGTGCGTGTGTGTGTGTGTGCGTGTGTGTGTGTGAAAAAGGGGAAACTATATGGCTGCTTGTGTGAGAGAGGAATGCTAGAAATGTATTTTTGATAAGCAAGGGCTGTGTGGTTCTGAGAGAAAGTACTCAAGTGTGGTGAAAATACTAAAAAACACACACACCCCTGACTGTTGGTGTCATGCAGCAATTGAAATAACTAAGAGCAATTGAAATAACTCAGAGCGGAGATGCATAAAATTGTGAATTAAAATGGATTGGACAAAGCTGGGGCTGGAGAAGGTGGGGGATGGTGGAATACTAATGGAGGAATCTAATTTATCCCCCATCCATTTTCCAAGCAATGTTCGGGTTCCTCTGACTTTGTGGGGGAAACAAGAGTTCCAAAGCGCAAGGAACATCCGTCCAAACCGCCGACCTGTCTGACCCCACTCTGCACTATAGGCACGCACAGAACACTCTCAATACACTGTTGCTGGCTGGCTGCTGCATTCTCAGTGTTGGACCCCAAGATACGTGTGGGCTTTGACATTGTAATGCCATAAGGATTCTCCATTAGAACATAGATGGAATTCTCTTAACGTTTGAGTGGATGTATGGATTTATGTATTGATTTGTTATTTTTCTGAAACGAGACTTTCAGCAAATGCTTGGAATTATATAACTAGAAGAAGAAAAAGAGTTTGGCTTTCGCAACTGAAAATGTATCCCCCCCTCCGACTCTCTCCACACTGCTTGCCTTAATAGAGTTCTCAACACACACACACCAAAACATATACCAGGGATTAAAGCTGGGACCTTCTCCCTGCAAAACTGAAGCTCTACCACTGAGCTGTGCTCCTTTCATAGCGTGAATTCTCTCCCCCACCCCCATTCCTTACCATCATTCTCATGAGGTCTTTCTCTTCCCGGGGATTGGCCAGAGATAGTACCCTGATATAAGCCAGGAGCTAGGAGCCATTGGACAGGCAATAATTCAGATCAAAGAACAAGGCCACATCTGTCCCATGCATTTAAAACACTTTGATAACACTTTTAACAGCCATGGCTCCCCCTCAGAGAATGCCAGAAAGTGTAGTTTGTTATGAGCACTGAGAGTTTTTAGGAGACCTCAGTTCCCCTCATGGAGGTACAGTTCTCACAAATTCCCTGGGAACAGGAGTTAATTGTTTAATCATTCTAGTAACTGTTGTCGGTGGTACTTGGCAACACTGAACTAGGCAAGAGTCTGTTCGAAAAGGATTGTCATAAAATGAATATACAGTAGTACCCCGGCTTAAAAACTTAATTCGTTCTGGAGGTCCGTTCTTAACCTGAAACTGTTCTTAACCTGAGGTACCACTTTAGCTAACGGGGCCTCCCGCTGCCGCCGCACAATTTCTGTTCTCATCCTGAAGCAAAGTTCTTCACCTGAGGTACTATTTCTGGGTTAGCGGAGTCTGTAACCTGAAGCGTCTGTAACCTGAAGCATCTGTAACCCGAGGTACCACTGTAGACTCTTCCAGAATCATGGTGATGTTGTATGGGAAGGGAGGAGCCTGCCATTCAAACAAAATAATAACAATAATTCACCCTGTGCCAAATGGGGCATGCCAAAATCAGAGCTGTACCCAGGCTCCCTTGTGTCCTTGGCAAGAAGCTCCTCTGAGGCACCCAGAGGAGGCTGTGCACCACACCTGGTCACCTAGAGCAGCAGAAGAGTGGTCCAGGGAGTGTGTGGATGAGCTCCTATCCACTCCAAGCCAGAGTGGAGAGGTGTGATGTTCATGCCTGCCTGGGCCTGGGCCCTTGGTGTGGGCCAAACTGACCAACCCCTAGGCATGCCCCTGGCCAAAATAAGCTTTATGTGCAGAAGCCAGTATTTTTAATGTAATGCTATTAAA